TTTCCGACCAACTTTGGTCGGTAAGCCATTCCGACCATCAAAATACCGTCCACACCGTAATGGCCGCATTTTGGTCGTTAATTTGCCATAACCGACCAACGTTGGTCGGTATTTTTGATCGGTTTTTAGCGAATTTCTAGTAGTGGCAGGTGCGAGTTTTCTCTCGCCTGCCAAGCCTCGCATCTGCGCGTTCGCATGTGCGCCTGAGATTCCGCACCTGCGATGGCAGACCTCCCCTTCTCTTTTTCGCTTCTGCGCATAAACCTCGCATCTGCAAGAGTCGCACATGCGGCTGTCCAAGCGCAGGTGCGAACGTACCAGAAGCAGAAGGCTTCAGCTCTTCTTCAAAATTTCTAAATTGATCCGAGTCTCGTCTGTTTAACACTCGGGGCCTCCGGGGCCCCGCCCGAACAAACCAACAAGTTTGAAATCATAAAACCGACTCGCTCAAACTCACGGAATGTGTAAAACAACATCAAATCTAAGAATCACACCCCAAACCAAATTGATTGAAACTTAAAATTTTCAAGTTTCTTTAATTTACTTCCAATGCGCCGAAACATACTTAAACTACTCGGAATGACACGAAAATTTGCGTGCAAGTCTTAAATCACTATACGAAACTATTCTCAAACTCGAAATTCCAAACGGACTTCAATTACTCAAAATCCTACTCCAAACCAAATTTAAAGAATTTTAAACCTTCAAATAGTTAATTTTTACTATTAAGCGTCAAAACGCTCCCGGGTTATCAAAAATCTGATTCGGACATACTCCCAAGCCCAAAATCATCATACGAACCTATTGGAACAGTCAAATCCCGATTCCGGAGTCGTTTTTCTCAAAAAGTTGACCGAAGTCAAACTTGGCATTTTAAGGTTAACTTAAGGAACCAAGTGTTCCGATTTCAACTCAAACACATCTAAATTCCGAATCAACCATCCCCGCAAGTCATAAATTATTAAAAACATATTCGGGGAGTTTTATTTAGGGAAACAGGGTTCTAAAAGTCGAAACGACCGGTTGGATCGTTAAATATTGGAGCTTCATTATAGCAAAAATTGCCCCATTACGAAGAAATAGGGAGGGTTGGAGATGCTATTGTGAAAATTGAGATAATTAAGTGGCAGAGAAGATTCCCCGGCATTCCCCTTTTTACCATCAATAATAGATATAGTTCATATTGTTTGCCACTTTGTTTTTAGCTACTCTGTTGATATCATATGTTTCCGTGAAAAAGGTCAAATTGACAGATAAAATGTTATGTCAGTAAAAGTAGAGAGAACTAAGTAAGATTGAAATTGTGAACCGATAAAAGCCATATTTTGTCTCCGCTTCCGTCTCAAATAGATAATTAATCTAATAATCATCTCATAAAGTCATCTTCCTTGCCTTTTCTTTCCTCACCTTTTCTGAATTCGTTCACTTGAATTAATACGTTCTCAAGACCTAATCATAGTGATCACACTGCCAATTGGTTGCAAATAATAAATTTTTCTAGTTACTATTTGCACGACTTGATGCATTAATTTAGTTAAAGTTGGCAGTCATTTTTCTTCAATTCAGTTTTCTTGAGCTATTTTGGTGCACTTTACAAGATTAATGTACGTTTCTGAATTCGCCTAAGACATCATAAAAAAAGGCTGATGCATTATAATTTTTGCATGGTAATTTTTTATAATGGTTAAAAATCCCTTTTTAACTTACTATGCCAATGATGACATACAATACCATTGAACAAAGAATACCCATTACAAATGGTGAGTAAGGTCCCCCTAGGTAGTTTTAATAGGTCAAACAATAAGGGATGGCTGCTCTTTGGACTTCAAAAAGTATACTATACACTACTTTTGCTCTACAATAACAATATTATACTCAGTGTACAGTATGGTATACACAAATCTTATTTCTATCTTGCGTGAGATAGAGAAATTACTTCTAATAGACTCTCGAGTGAAGAAAAGTATTTTCAAAACAGATTTGAAAAATAAAAGAGTAAAGAAGCTAAAATAAGAATACTGAAGGAACGCAAAGTATTGACAGCAAGATACTACTTTGCTATAATAAATTTAATTTCAAAGTTAATCAGAGGTACTAAATTATTCGATGTTCCTAAGCCTGCACAAATGCCAACCAATTTGCGAGAACTACTTCTCCTTACATTAATTGTGACTTCTGATCAGGATGGAGGTTAAAACTGGCATCCATTTATTATCGAAGAAAAACACGATAGCCCTGGGAATGAAAAAAAATCTATAAGAAATGTTTCCTCTTTTAATAGGTCTTATGCAGTGGGACTCCAGATTAATCTGACCCCAATGGGGTATCAAATATCGGATGGGAAACGGAAAAAAAAAAAAAAAAAAAAAAGAAGAGAAAAACATGATACATATAATCTTAACTACTTGCAGAAATTAAATGCAGGTACATGACCACAACTAATGAAATAAAACCTCACTTAACGATTTTCAAAAGGTTGAGGTTGTTGGATTTCTAAAATTTAATTTTGTGCATTGAGTTGAATTCAGGGGCTTTGGTTGTTGGATCTTCTACAAGACATTGTGTCATCAGGTTAAAATTTTAAGGCATCCATTCAATATCAGACAAAACAAACATTATCAATATAAGCTTACTAGTTCCATGATTTTCATGCAGGTACAGTACTACAGCTAACGAAGTAATTATTCTACTATATATATATTAGTGCTTATGATAATTTACACTAATTATAAAGTCAAATTGAATACAAATTTCAAGATTTTCAAAAGTTTAGGTTGTTAGATCACTACTAGAAATCCAATAAAAACCGACCAACGTTGGTCGGTAATGGCCAATAACCGACCAAAATGCGACCATTTACGTGTGGACGGTATTTTAGGGGTCGGAAAGGCATACCGGCCAAAGTTGGTCGGAAATTAGCGACCAACTTTGGTCGGTCAATTAAATTCAAAAAAAATAATATTGCAAAAGAAAAACCGACCAAAGTTGGTTGGTTTTTTCTGATCAAAGTTGGTCGGTATTTTAATTATGTAATTAAAAGATTCACCATCTGAAAATCGAACCGGGGTCTGTACTATGGCAGGATACTATTCTACCACTAGACCATTAGTGCATTTTATTTTAAAATTGTCTTTTATTTGATTTATACTCTTTAATTGTATTTTAGCACGAAAATAACCGACCAAAGTTGATCGGTTTTATTAAAAAGTAAAATTACCGACCAAAGTTTGTCGATTTTTTTAAATGACTGGCCGAATTAACCGATCAATTTTGGTCGATTTTTTTAATATTAATTTTTATTTATTTTAATTGAAAAATCGACCAAAGTTGGTCGGTTTCTTGAAAAATAAATTTCGCAGGACTCAAAAATAGTTTCCCGCATTTTTGCGCCAAAGAAAATCGACCAAAGTTGGTCGGTCTCGTAAAAAAAATTAAAAAATAAAATATTTTAAAAATTGATTTTTTGACCAAAGTTGGTCGGTCGACCCTGGTCGATATTTGCCGAATTTCTAGCAGTGGATCTTCTTAGATAATCTTTGCACTTCAATATATATAACTTAAATCTTACTTGCATTTACACAGTACATTCAAATTGGCATCTCTCTCTTTTTTTCATCTTCCTTTAGCTTTCCATTTTTAGTCTCCATTCACTACCAAAAAATTGGAATTACCTATAAACTTCATCGCTAAATTGATCGTACCTAATAGAATTTCTTGATAATTGTTGAGAAGCAAGAAGTGACTTAGTTATGTGTAGAAATATACAGGGTAGTTTAGTCTATTTAATTGTACTTATAGTCAGTTATTAGAAAGTTAGTTAGCTTAATAAAATAGTGTATATAAGCTAGCTCTTAGTTAGTTTACAGATGAATGAAACAGTTCATTTCTTCAACTCTCTAAAACATCTTCTACTTCCTTTTTCTTCTCTCTAAATCTAGGGTTTCATTCCGCCATTAATGCAGGGATCTCAGCATGGTATCAGAGCAGAGAGCTTCGTCTCCAAGCTCGTGAATTGATCCTATTCTCCTCCTACAAATCTCTCTTCGTCTCTGCATCAATTCTTCAAGCTCCAAATAGTTTCAACTGAAATTGAAATTGCTCAACAATGGCGATTGACGATCTCAGTCACGAAGCCACAACTGTCACACCAGAAATTACTTCTCAGATGTCATCAGACAATGAATTTGAAGAAGGAATCACAATTCTGTCCAATTAACCACTATACCTCGCTCCTAGCGATACTAGTGGAATCTCTCTAATTTCTTTTCAATTGGCAGGTACAGACAAATATTCCCTGTGATATCGATCCATGCGAATTGCTCTACTAGGTCGTAACAGACTAAGAATGGTAGATGGCAAGTGGAAGAAGGAACGATTTCGTGAGAAGTACTGGTACCAGTGGGAGAGATGCAATGCAATAGTACTGTCCTGGTTAATGAATTATGTTGCTCAGAACTTGATTAGTGAAATTGCATACACTACGAATGCTCAAACACTCTTGAAGGAGTTACGTGAGAGATTTGACAAAGTTAATAGTTCTAGATCCTTTAATTTACACACTGGCATTGCAATCTTAACCATAGGTACTCTGTCCATTTTTGCCTATTACTCAAAGTTAAAAGATCTGTAGGATGAATTTGAGGCATTAGTGCCACTACCTGATTGTGACTGCTCTAAGTCTAAAGATTGTGTGGTGTTTCTCCAAAGACTGAAGCTGTATCAATTTTTCATGGGCCTAAATGCCAACTATCTTCAAGCTAGAAGTCAGATTTTACTCATGTTCCCATTACCTACTGTGAATCAAACATACGCTATGCTTATCAGTGATGAAATCCAAAAGGCTATTGATGTTAACTCTGGTATTCTGGGTGCTTCCCCTCCTAATATAAACCCAGGAAGATATGATTCTACTACTCTATATAGCTCTAAAACTGGAGGAAATCAAAAGTTTAGGAAAAATTACAATTTCTACTGTGAGGTATGCAAGATGAAAGGACATACAAAGAAAAATTGTTACAAAATAGTAGGATATCCATAAGACTTCAAATACAAGAGAAGAAAGGGGGAGCTGGTGGCTCTAGTGCATACAATGCAGTAACTGAAACCAGTTCAATCAATGTACATTCTCCAACTCAAAAGATGTCAGCTCAGGTGACTGGTCAGTACATGGAGACTCAGCATGCTCAAAGAGAGGTTCAACCCACTCATCTAGGTGTTCAGAATCATAACCCTTGACTTGATGCATGTACATTTACCAAGGAGTAGTATGATCAAATTGTACAACTCTTGCACAAGGTTTCCCCTTCAACTATTAGTGCCAATACAACAGGTACAAGTAGTGTTTTCTTATTGTCTGATAGTAAGTCGGATTGGATCATTGATACATTAGCCACAAATCATATGGTATCTGATGTTAACTTGCTCAATAAGTCTTCAATTAGTGAACTTATTGTGCCTAGGAAAGTGTTTCTACCAAATAGATACATTTCCCATGTAGCTCATGTTGGAACTAGTTCTATATCTGATAACAACTACCTCAGGAATGTACTTCATATACCACAATTCAAGTATAACCTTCTATCAGTGTCTAAGGCAACTAGGGATCTATGGTGTTCTGCCTGTTTTTTCCTGATTTTTGTGTATTTCAGGATCTCTCCATTGGGAAGGTGAAGGCGATTGGTAAGGAGTATAATGAGTTGTACTTGTTGCATAGACACAATGCAAGGACCAATAAGGTATTTACACTAGCAGCTCAAGGAAGAGAAGCTGTAGATATAACTTTGTGGCATTGAGGCTTGGCCACGTGTGAACTAAAGTACTAAAGAAACTGCTGCCAGTCAGCTTGGAAAGCATAGTAGTTACACTAAATAAGTGCAGTGTTTGCCCTTGTGCTAGGCAAACTAGACTGACATTTCCTTCTAGTAGCATTAAGATTACTACTTGTTTTAACTTGATACACGTTGATGTATGGGGACCTTATAAAACTGCTACATTTGATGGAAACAGATATTTTTTGACTGATGTTGATGACTTCTCTAGAATGATATGGATTTTTCTTTTACGACTCAAATCTGATGTATGTGTTGTTCTACAACAGTTCCTTGTCTTTGTTCAAACTCAGTTTCAAAAGACATTGAAGGTAGTCAGAATTGACAGTGTGTGATTATGGCCAATATTTTAGCTAATGAAGTCCATCTCACATAAGCATAAGCATCTTTGCAAAGTGTAGACTTTGTTGGCAATATTCTTTGGAACCCAAAAATATTGCATTATGTGGTGGACATCATTTGCACAAGTTGTATCTCTTCTTTTACACCTAAGAGGCCAAGACTTTTTTGCCTATAAAAAGGAAGGCAATTAGTTCATTTTAAATACACCAACAAGACTTGTCTTTAATTCTTGTTTCTTCCTTTCTTCCTTTATTAAGAGTATTTTGTATGAGAGTTAGTGTTGGGAAGCACTTGTGTGAACCCTTTCTTTGGAGTGATCTTATGAGGTTATTCTCTTAGGGTATTTGGGATTAATTAGAGTGTTTACTCTAATTTTATACTCTCTTTTGTACTCTTATTGTTATACTAAATTGCTCTTCTCCGCTTGTGGACGTAGGTCACTTTGACCGAACCACGTTAAATTTGTGTCTTATTTATATACTTTAATTGTCGTTGTTATCAACTTCCATTGTCTTTGTTATTGTCATTATACCGCTGTTTGGCTAAATTCCGCACTACCCGGGTTCCCGATCCTAATAAATTGATATCAGAGCCGGATCTAACCGGGTTAGTTTTAATAGCCAAAATGACTCTAACAAAGACCTATGTTGAGAAATTTGACCGAAGTGCAAACTTCAAAATGTGGCAATTAAAGATGGATTAGGATGGCTTAGACTTGGCGTTACAATGAAAGGAGAAGAAGTCGGATAAAATAACGGACGAAGAGTTTGCCATCATAGACAAAAGGCAAAAGTAGGTATCATTTTATATTTCTCAAATGAGGTTTTACGTGAAGTTTCTATAGAAACCACAACTAAAGGCATGTGGGAAAAATTAAAAACCTTCTATATGAAGAGGACGGTGGAAAATAGATTTTACCTGAAGTAGAAACTTTATACAATTCGTATGGGTGAAGGTACCTCTATTCTCTCTCATCTTGACACCTTTGATTCCATTCTTATGGATTTGAGTAATATAGATGCTGAAATTAAAGATGAGGATAAAGCCGTGTTACTGCTTTGTTCTCTACCCCCATCTTTTAATCATATAAGAGATACTATTCTTTATGCAAAGGATAATATCTCTTATAAGGATATTAAATCTATCTTAAAATCAAAAGAACAGATAGATAGTGATATTACTGGGGAAGCTAGTGGAACTCAAGCAGAAGTTGGCTTGTTTGTTAGGGGCAAATCCGACTCTATATCCAAATACAATAATTTAGAGTGTCGCTATTGTCATAAGAAAGCTCACAATATCTCTGAATGCTATAAGCTGAAAAATAAAGAAAAGCATAAGGAAAGGAAAAATGAGCACAAAAATACTGACACTGCCGAAGCAAGTGTAGCTGCTGATGAGACTGAGGGAACTATTTTGTTAACAACTAATAATAGCTTCAAATCTAATAATGAGTGAATTTTAGATTCGGGTTGTTCTTATCATATGTGTCACAATCGATATTTATTTACCACATATGAATCTATTGGAGGTAGAATTGTCTTGATGGGCAACAATGCTGCCTGCAAAGTTTTTGGAAAAGGTACAGTCCAAATCAAAATGCACAATGGTGTGGTGAGAATTCTCATTGATGTTAGACATATTCCTGACTTGAAGAAAAATCTCATCTCTTTGGGCACTCTAGAATCTCTTGGGTGCAAGTACACAGGTGAAGGTGGAGTTCTGAAAGTTTCTCATGGTGCTCTTGTGATCATGAAAGCACACAGATCTGGTTCGTTGTATACTTTATTGGGATCCACTGTTATAGGCCTTACTACAGTTTCGATAGCAGATAACTTGTCTGATTTTGATGGCATTAAATTTTGACATATGCCCATTGGGGCTTTTTGCGGAGAAGGTGGAGCAAATTTACTAAATCAGCCAAAATTAGGCCTAGGTGGAGATTTGTAATTATGGCCAATATTTTGGCTAATGGAGTCCATCTCACATAAGCATAAGCATCTTTGCAAAGTGTATACTTTGTTGGCAATATGCTTTGGGACCCAAAAATATTGCATTATGTGGTGGACATCATTTGCATAAGTTGTATCTCTTCTTTTACGCCTAAGAGGCCAAGACTTTTTTGCCTATAAAAAGGAAGGAAATTAGTTCATTTTAAACACACCAACAAGACTTGTCTTCAATTCTTGTGTCACGACCCGAAATTTCCACCTTCAGACCGTGATTGCGCCTAACATTTCACTTGCTAGGCAAGCCAACGTTAGAATAATATTATCCATTTTTAAAATAATTTTAAATTTATTAATAACAAGGAAACAAATGTTGAAGCAAAGTTCGAAAAAGCGGTGTCTAAATACCATCCCAGAATTGGTGTCACAAGTGCACGAGCTTCTAGAATAAATACAAATAAAGGTCTGAATAATATAAAGCTGACTGAAAATAAACACACAACTAAAGTACAATAGACAGGGACTTCAGAACTGCGGACGCCGTGCAGTTATACCTCAAGTCTCCTCTGATAGCTGAAATCCGAGCAAATCTATGGTACACCACTGGGACCAACTCCAAAATCTGCACAAGAAGTGTAGACTATAGTATCAGTACAACCGACCCCATGTACTGGTAAGTGCTGAGCCTAACCTCGACGAAGTAGTGACGAGGCTAAGGCGGTTCACTTACATCAACCTGTATGCAATATTAGTAACAACAACAATAATAGGAATAAATCAAGTAATTCATTTATAATAATTAAAGGCAACTCAGCAGTCATAACCAATTATCATTTCCATTATTTCTGTTGCAGCGTGCAACCCGCTCTCACAATATATCCACATTCAGTTCTGTTGCGGCGTGCAACCCGCTCCTCCAACATATTTATTTTAATCTAGTCTGTTGTGGCGTGCAACCCGATCCTCCAGTATTAACTTTCTAACAAGTCTGTTGTGGCGTGCAACCTGATCCTCCAATATTAACTTTTAATAAGTCTGTTGCGGCGTGCAACCCGATCCTCCAATATTGACTTTTAATAAGTCTGTTG